GACGTCTAAAGATTTTGATCAGATTCGACAGTTTGCGAAAAATAGAAAAATCCGTAGAGCTCAGCCCGCGATATATTCGAGCCACGCAGCTTCGACTCCGATTCACGGCCGACTTACGGTTTCCCCGACGTGCCTCTCATCTGCGCAGGTAGCGCCTGTGGCCTCGGCTCCGCCGGCGGGGGCGATTCGGCAGGCGGGGGCGAATCCGCGACACCTAATTTCGGCATCCTGAAACGTAAAACCCCAGTTAAAATCTCCGGTTATTCCAGGCGCGCATACATCCGAGTCGAGAGAGAGGGCAACAGGAAGAGCTTACTGTGCCAACGATACACTCCGATACACTCCGATACACTCTGATACACTCCGATGTCTCTCCTCATCGGACCCACGGTCCGTGCTCCGTCCAACCCCAACCCGACGCTTGCAACCACTCGCTCTCCATCCATGCACGAGATGTGGAGATCCCGCATGGGAAACCCTCGAACTCGCAAGCGCCCGACATGGCAGGGTGCGAAATTAACGGGAGTCTGGAGTCAAATACTCCCTGATTTGACATATGCCATGTGACATGACCTCTGTGAAGGGAAGCGTACTCACTGTGGTGGCGGTGCGGCGGCAGCGGCTCTGCCCTTCCCTGTCGAGCCTCGTCCAATCGACAGGTTTCCCATCATCCCCGGCAGGCCTCGTCCCACTGAAAACGACAAAGTAGACAGTGTTAGGTGTCATTGTCAACGTCGACTGGATGCGAGCGAATTTCACCTGTAAATGGACATTCGCGCATGTCACACCGTCACATCGTAACACGTCGAAGCAAACTTGTGTGGGGAGTCGCACCGGCTAAACGCCGGTCGCCATGAGAGATATACAGCCAAGTTGCGAATATGAGGTAAACGCCTTCTTGTAAATTGTGAATTAACCTCCACTTGGATCGTGAATGTGTGCGATAGCCGGGGACCCAAGACTGGCATACGTAAACACGGGAGTTGCTAACCCATTTTGCATGGGGGATGGTGGCAAAGACACGTGCGGGTTGTATTCCGGGCCGATAATCGTGGGCAATTCGCCATTGACTAAAACAATATCTACATTTCTCTGGGGGCAACGCCTCCCCTCACCCTGGCGCTAGCTATGGCCCTGATAACACCCTGGTACCTACGAGCAAACTGCATGCACACATGGACTGTGACGAAATTGCGTCTCGATACAATCGTGTCACAAATTGTGCTCCGACGAAATCGCACTCACGATAAAGGATCGGTACAGGCACTATATGCTATATACTTGTCACTATATCCAGTGCAGTGGGCACCGACAAATAGGAGAACATAACATCACATAACACGGAAACTATGAGCGAGTGAATACTCACTTCTACTGGGTGGGCTCTCGCCATTCTGTCCATTCATACCACTGTGACTTGTAGGCAAGCCTCGTCCAACTGTTCACACAAAAGCAACAGCAAACAAGCAGGTGAACTCGGTGCAAATTTGGAATCAACACATGTACGCACGCATGCATGCAGGCACGCGCGCGCACACATACATCCATGCACACGCACGCGCGCGTGCACACACACACACACATGCGTGCACGCACGCACGCACGCACGCACACACACATAGATATTTGCAGAGCATCATAATTATCAACCCAGATAGAAGGCCTCCTATAGGATGATATTCCAGTTGCATCCCTCAAACCAATCCTCAGCACAATCCCAAGAAACTTTAACGATACACGATTACCAAAACTTCTTTTTTCGAGCGTCATTCTCGCAAACTCAACATCAGAACTTTGCAGCGGAACGACAGAGCACAACGACTCCATTCCACGAACGTACATCTGATGGGGTAAGTGGCCGACGGCGACGCCGCAGCTGCTGCCGCGGGCTGCCTCGTAACTGCGTCTCCGGCTGCAGGATGCGAAGTAGAAGGTACCTCGGCTCTCGGAACGGGCGTGGAAACTGCACGGCTAGCTAGCGGACCGCCCCTGGAAATGGAATGCGAAAGAAGTTAACGCAGCAGACAGAGAGCACCGGACTTGCAGAGATTAAGCAGTTTTAACCGGAAAATTACATCAATGTTTTCAGCCCAATGGAATCGACCAAATCAATCAAGTTTATTTTGCAATAAATTGCGAGCAGTCACAGAACTTTGCCAACAAGTAAACCGTAATTAATATTATAATATATACATATATATATATATATATAATATATTAAGTATATTAATCAATGCACTACCTTCCCATCATAAAATGTGTTTGTCACTTGAACTGGTGTGTTAGTAGAAACAGGTGTGGGCGTATCCTGTATAAATATGCAAAATGTAGAATAAATTACAAAGCTGTTAAACCAAGAATACGTACGTATCAATGGAAAAATTGTTACCTGATGTCTGCATATATTTATGATATAAAATCTTGTCATACAATCTTACAAAGAATAACACATCATTAACATAATATCTAGAGATCTTTGCTAGCTCATGAGGTTAAATTTTCATTATTCTACCATCAGACAAATAATAGACATTACAGAGTAGTAAGATTTTATTCTATGTCGGTAAATTTATAAAAATACGATATCCTACATACAAATACAAACCACGAAAAAAGAGCTGAAATTTATCTCAACGATACCGAGTCGACAGTACCGCGACAATCGTCGTTAGATACCGTTAATTAATGAATTGCCGTTGCTCGACAATGAGAGACAGTACCTCGCCGGGTCTCCTCACTGGTTCTTGCAGGGCGGCCAACAGTGCCGCTCCTCTTCCTCCTCTTCCTATGCCAATGGGCTGAGGTGCGGCCCACCCGGCGCAGTCGTGGAGGAGGTGGAAGACTACCTCGCCCTATACCTCCACCAGACGTCGGATACATAACTCACTCGAGAGCTGTGCTCCTAGTAGCAATTATTCGTCAACCTGGCGGAAATAGAGCAAAAAGTGTGTAGTCAGCTTTTTGATGATATATATCCGTGGTGTTATCCATTTTATGATTTCAGTAATCTTTATTGTAACAAGTATGCTCATGGTACTTGTATATGATGGATAACTTGCCTAAATAAATGAAGTGTACAACTGCACTGTAGGCTCACACAAACAAGAGCCGCAGAGCTCTGGGCTCATCTGAGGTCTGTGGCCCTACGATTATAAACGTAAAATTTCAGTGTGCGTATCAGTTACCACATTGTTGAGGCGGCAGAATATGCAGAACAGCAATGCTGGTACACATCAAATTGTTAGGACACGCCCACTTATCGCAGAATGGAGGGTGGGGGGAGGGGCGGAAGGCGCCGTGGGGAGGGAGATTCAGGGGGAAGGGGGAGGGTGGGGGAGGGGCTCTGAATAGCAAAGCAGGTTCACTCCCTCTGTTAACAGTCAACAAATCATGTTAACCCTCCTCTTGAGGGTCAAAAGGTTATCCGACACTTACTCATCGCCATGTCACCCAGAAGGCCGACATTTCATGGTCCTTTCAAATAAACGCCATCAAAGCTAGGCACGCTGAAACAAAACAGTTTTTCAATCGCCCGGTCAGACCCATGTCCTTCAGCAAAAGGTCTAAAACTCTGCCCTGTGCCCATTGACCTGTGACCGTCAATTTTCGGACAGTGATGGCTTTTCCCTACCACTGATGCTATACCACCGACCTATTCACGAAGCCTTAGGTCGGAGCCGTTTTAGATTTGTGACCGCAATTCTGCCATTTCCTCCCTATGACCTTAAAGTTGAAGGAGTGAAATGTTGCCCCCTTCTTTTACACCTACATCTACCTCTTGGACCTTTGACCCCCAGCTTCGACATCCAACTCGTCTTTGACGATCCCCCAAACGACACCGAAGTACGTACCGCTACGTCTGAGCGGTTAAGATTTGAGCCCAATCGTTGACCGACGGACGACCGACGACGGACGAACCGGACGACCGGACGGCACGACGGACGATCATGCGATTCTACCAAGCTGCATCTGAGCTATGTCAGGATGAGCTAAACAAAGGACAACAAATGAGTTGAGTAAGAAGAAGTTCAGATTATTAAAGTTGAGCAACCATCGACGTACATTATAGACAGAAACGATTGCCATCTGATATATCGCAATCTAATAATTTATAAACCAAAATGGGCTGCAACCACACATTGGTGTACACGAAAAAATACGGTAACTCCGCGAGGCTAGTTAGTATGTGCAGAATTTTACATGGAGTCACACGACTTCCTTGTATATGTAAATCAGGAGCTCCGACATAAACTCGGGAGTATTTGACTCCGGACTCCCGTTAATTTCGCACCTGTGCAATGCTTCTGTGCATCATAACTACAGTAATGCCGGTACGGTAGGTACTCATAATGGGAAAATACGCAACATAACAGCGGGTACGTTTGCTGCACGAACATCTGGGGAGTGTTGTTGTACCTAGTATAGGATTAGTCCGAGCCGACGCAGACCCCAGTAATGGGGTTAAACCCGCACCCTCAGATTAGCACGTCTGCGTGCGGACAACTATATAGCCATAGGCCTAGGGTCAAACGACTAGTAGTAGTACTGTACTGGATTTAAACATTTTTTTGTGACCAAGAGCCTAAAGCCTAGAGGTTATGTATTGTACGTATGGGGATCGGAGGGCTACATGTGGATTTCCGTCTTGTTACATAGTGAAACACTGTGTATGACTGAGCTGAGGCTGCGGAAAATGTACGCGGGCTAGAGCTAGTGACGTAGTGTCGTGTGTTGTCGCAACAAATTGTCAATGTTGTTGAACAATAAACATCTTGGATTACATAACAAACATTGAATTTTGACTGATAGACGGGAATCAAACAATCCTATTACTATCATAGATAACATAACGAATTTAAAATTTACTAAAATACCGTTAAGGGTGCAATAAACGCTCGAAGTTGTGTTCTCCAAAATGTATCCAAGAATAGATCATAAAACGGCCATCTTTACTGTTTTCGTTTCGGCTGCAACCGTTTCTACCGCAAGGTGTCGCATGTGCTGCGCATGCGAGTGATGCGAAAACATACATGTAAATCATCATGGTCATAGACTAAAAATAACGCGTGTATATTATAAGTTATTCTTAGTCTATGGCCAAACCGCATAGAGCCGAGATGCACAATTAGCAACGTATTTGCAATGAGTGGGTTCAAGTTTAACTTTATTACCGATGACGATGGCGATGGGGACAGTGCAAGTGACAAAAATTTAGGATTAGGAGCTGGGGCCGGTATGTATACACTTTCTGTGACAGTCACTGTGTAGTAGTATGGTAGTGTGGGCATGTGGGGATAAGGCCTGAGTGTTACGTCAATCTTTCAGTGATTTGCGAGCAGAGTAAAGACAGAGATGCTCTCATCGAACTCAAGAGAGAAGGAAGCGATGGCGGAGGCGACAGTGGCGCCCCCTGCATCAGACCGGCAAAAAAGCTGACGTTCAACGACGACCTAGTGCAGGCGAGTCTCTCGCGGACCCCGGGTTTTCGAAAACCCAGATGACGTGAATTGGCGCTACAGTAACTTCAGCGCGAAAGTCGTAAATTTACGGGAAGAAGACGGCTTGCCAATATACAGCTTCCTCACTGGCTGTACTCAGTCATGGAAATAAGTCAGACAACATATATAGCCAGCTCTGGTTCTATATTCTGAAAACTTTGATTTCAATTATATATAACCTAAAGTAAACTCATAAAATCCATGGAAATATTAGCGAGTTCTAACTTCGTAATCTCTTAAAAGCAACTCTTAACACTCCAAAATCATGCATAACTAGAGATATAACTTGGATACATACTGCAATAAAACCTGTGACGAAGACAGTCTTCAACGTCAATCGGACGTCCTGCTCGAAAATTACCGATCCGGGGGTGGGGGGGGGGGCTGGAAATGCCGCCAGAAGGAAGGAAGGAAGCTGCCATTCCCAACACTGCCGTGCTGTTTCAGGCCATTTGCAAAAACGTCTACCAGGTGGAGACACTGACCGTGTGCGGCGCGGAGTATGTGCACAGGGTCACGTCGGACGAGGAGGTGGCGTCGTCGGCGCTACGCGAATCCGTCACTCAGGACTCTGACATCATCCCGCTCGTCTACGAAGGTTCGTGCGCCGTGCGCGCCGTTTTAACCACGGGATCGTGGATCTCTACTACGTATCTAGGGTCAACAAAGGTTTGCTCATCAAAGCTTTGCGCGTTTAGCATTTATAGGATCCTGCGTCTCTACTATGTGGAGTCAATGAAGATACACTTATAAAAGCCGTGCGCGTTTAACACGTATAGGATCCTTTATTTCTACTATCTGGTGTCAACGAAGATACACTTATAAAAGCCGTGCACGTTTGACACGTATAGGATCCTACATCTCTACTATCTTCGGATGTTTCTTCGCTACACGTGCGTTACCGTTCTCTCTCTCTCTCTCTAGGTGGGCTGAAGATCTGGGAGTGCTCTCTGGACCTCGTCGAATACCTCGCCTCATCCGACGTTGATTTCGCAGGAGCGAACGTGCTCGAGGTATGCAGACGCGCTCGAGGTATGCAGACGCGCTCGAGGTATGCAGACGCGCTCGAGGTATGCAGACGCGCTCGAGGTATGCAGACGCGCTCGAGGTATGCAGCAGCGCTCGAGGTATGCAGCCGCGCTCGAGGTGTGCAGACGCGTGACGCGAACGCCAAGCATGAAAACCACGCATCTTATTTAAAAGAAATTATCTAAGTAGTGTACAGGAAATTGCTTTAAATTCCAAAAGTTTTCCAGGAGAGGACATTTTCCCCCTGTACACCCCCCCCCCCTAGTATGAATTTCATGTTGCAACGCCTTCTTTTTTTTTAATCTGGCATCTCCCGGCTGAATCTCCGCGTTGCAGTGCTGCCCCCTGGGTGCGGTGACGTCGACGCGCGATTGTAACGCGCTCGCGCCGTGTTACTGATTGCAGCTCGGATGTGGAGCGGCCCTGCCCGGAATCCACGCCCTCGGACAGGGTGCATCCGTCGTCTTCCAGGATTACGTGAGTGTCAGTGTTTCTGCGAACGGTCGACGAGGAAAAGTTTATGCTGAGACTATTGTTAATTATGACTAATGTTAATTAAGACTAATGTTAATTAAGACTAATGTTAAGACTATAATTTTGTGTCTGACAATGGGCCCCAGGTCAACAGCCTATAAGAAAAGGTTAATGCCAAGCCAACTTAAAATTAAGTCAAAATTTGTGTGTGACAATGGGAGGGAGCCAGGTCAAGGATCCAGCGAGAAAAATTTAATACTAAGACTAGTGTTCAGACTAATTTTGTGTCTGACAATGGGCCCCAGGTCAACAGTCTATCAGAAATAATTTAACGTTAAGGCTAATTTTGTTTCTGGCAACGGGGGGAGGGGTCTTGGTGATTTGTGATGGTGACCTGACCGGCGCCTCTCGGCTCATCTCGGGTTTTCAGAACGCAGAGGTGCTGGAGCTGGTGACGATACCGAACGTCGTCAACAACACGCCGGACGATGACGACGATCGCGTCGCCGCACTCCCCGGCCGCTGCCAGTTCTGGGCGGGAGACTGGGGCGCCCTCGAGCGGAAGTGGAAGGAACTACAGCTCAGGTCGGTGCTCGGAATCCGACGGTCGCGCTAAAATGCACGAGACCGCGTCATAGCGTCGTCGAAAGCGTTTTCTGGCATTGCTGATTACATGGCGGAAAAATCTGGAAAAAGTTTCGCCGCCGAGAGATCGCAGTCGTTCCGTTGACTGTCGCCGTTTCGATTCCGACAGCTAATCCGGTGTGTGCGTGCTTCACAGGTTCGATGTGATATTGACGTCGGAGACGATCTACTCGGAAGCGGCGCAGCCACACTTGTACTCGCTCATCAAGGCTGTACTGAAGCCTGCAGGGGCGGCGTATCCTTGCAGCTGACGTTGTGGCTGATGCTAGAGAGGAGAGAGCGATAAGAGAGGGAGAGAAAAAGGGGGGCCCTTTCTCTCTCTCTCTCTCTCTCTCTCTCTCTCTCTCTCTCTCTCTCTCTCCTCCTCTCTCTCTCTCTCTCTATCTCTCTCTCTCTCTCTGTCTCTCTCTCTTTCTCTCTCCCTCCTCACCCAACATTCTCCTGTCACTTTTTCTATCGGCGTTCGCCTTAACCAGAGGGCGTCACCAGCTACGTCGCGGCGAAGGTTCACTACTTTGGTGTCGGCGGCGGCACGCGGCAGTTTGTGCATCTCGTCGAGGAGGACGGGGCGTTCAACGTTACCACTTGTTTCGCCACGGAGTCAGGTACGAGTGCGCAAATATGGGGGTCGGTTGAATCAAGGGGGGACATGTACGTGGGGTTTATCATCGTCGGGCCACGCCTGACCGTAGGTTAAAACTCAACCCTAACCCTAATCCTATCCCTGACCTTAATACTACTACTAATCCTAACCCTAAACTTATCACTAATACTAACCCTGACCTTAATCCTAACTCTAACCGAATACTAACTCTCACCTGTTATTCAACCCTAACCTTAACCCTAACTCTCACCTGTTCTTCAACCCTAACCCTAACCTTGACCCTAAACCTAACCTGTTCTTAAACTATATCCCTAACCCTAACATTTACTTAATCCTATCCCTAATCTGATTTTGAACCCTAACCCTTACCGTGATGCTATGCGTAACTCTAACCTTGACCTTGGCTGAGCATCTCACTGAATCGCCAAACAATTCTGAGTTTTTGCCTGTGGATCTAAATCGGCGCGCGTCGCATTTCCCACCGGCGCTCTCTGGTGTTCATCCTTGATCGATGTTCTCCTGACAGGTTTGCGGCGAGAGATCCTGATGATGCGATGGAAGACCGCCGGCGCCACCTAGGTGTTGCGATCTCGGACTCGCTCACTGCTCACCAGGTGGCCGCGAGATGTGTAGCGACCGGCGCCACCTAGGCATCGCGAAAAAGCTGCGATAACTGCTCACCAGGTGGCAGCGAGGTGGGCAAGGGCGGGCACCTAGTGGCGATAAAGCTACGGTAACTGCTCACCAGGTGGCCGGCTGCACTCGTCGAGTGTCGACCGGTCGACGGCCGTGAAGACAATGCCGACGCATGTTTCGTATGTATGTGTAGTACAGTGCAGTATGTACGTATGTATCATAGTGTGGGGCAGGGGGGGGCAGTGCGCTCATGGTAAATGCCGGAAGGAGACGACACGTGTTTTTGGATTCGAGCGATCGTCTTTAGATGCTCTTGGAGTCGATGGACAGTGGCGACACCTGGCATGCGAATTGTCAAGATCTGGTTTGTATGTTGTAGACAATAATGTCAAATTAAATAAATGTGATACTTTTTATGGGAATTTAACTTGCACTTGGATACTTGACTTTGGTTTACTTTTTTACACTTGCATGCGTGACTGTCTCTCTCGTTTTGTATGAGAGTGTCCTTTTAACTTAACTTCATGAAACTTGTTATACACACGACATTGTCAATGTAATGGCATTCGTCGTTCTAGCACTATCTTCTGCATTTCAACACATATTTGTTTTACAATATCGAAAACGTTTATTAACAAAAGAAAATCGGTCAGAAGACATAAATTAATATCCTGTACAAACTGTAATAATGGAACAATAAATAGCAATAACAACGCATAACATCTCGTCTCTTCTTCGCACTTCGAAAGATGGCACGACTTGACGAATTAATACGTATTTGGTTCGATGCGGGTTGCGGGCGAGTTTTCCCGCTCCTGATGTGTGTACGTACGTACGTACGACACGCGCGTGGCAGCACGGAAGTGACGTGGAGAAAATAAGAGTACTCGGCTTACGGACACGACTTTACACCTGTTTACGTGGGAATGTGGTAATAGTATAGATTGAAACATATTAGTCTGTGGCTTACGTAATAAAAATAAAAGAGCATTCCCTGCCCAAGAGATAATTTTCATTTAATAGATAATATTATTGGTTGGTCAAGCAATGAGGTGTGATGCTCTGACCACGAGATATTTTTTTATTAATCGGATTTTTTTCGATGTGACGCCGTAACAATGACTAACATGGTAGAACGTACAGACTAGATGATGGTGCATCTTGTATCCATGTATATTTTTTTCTCCTCGTCCCTTGTGTCTGTGCTTTCACGCATGCGCGCGCGCGTTGACAACAGCAATAAATACGTTACTATATACACGCGGGCGTTGATGGGTCGCATCAACGTCTATAGTCTCTCTATTCGTAGCTACGCCGTAATAATTATATATTAATAACATTCACACCGCATTTATATAGATATACCGATTTTGATTAATAATTTCGGCGACAGATGGCGCCTGTGAAGACTGCGTCGGTGTTTTCCTTGCGGACATGTGACAGACGCACTGCCGTAATGGGTTGAATCTATGCACGTCTATTTCCGTCCGTGTGTCCATCCTGTCCGTGTGTCCACCTCCGTCCTGTCCATGTGTTCACCTTTATCCAGTCGCAACAACGAACACTCTTCGATAGCATGAGTCATCGGTGATGATGTGATATCCGGGGCACATTATTTTATACCTTCGTATCCAGACAGTGAATGGCGGATCCGGATTCGAGCTTCTGGGAAATAAACGAAAGAACTGTCAGAAGTAATAGAGAAGACGAGTTATCAGCGCTGGACCTGTGTATTGTCCAGACTCCTGCAATATGCAATCCGCAATCTCTAAATAGACGCTTTCCAGGAATTAGTGAAGTGTGGCGGGCAGACGCGTGCGGGCTGAGGCAATGTGCTCGCACTAGAACACTAACATTCACTACGCTCGTCGATTCAGGCCATCGACTTCAACTCTTTCACTCTACTACGTTCGCCGCACGTTGCGCGCTCTTTCTTCTCTTCTCATAGCGCTCTCGTTCTCTCTCTCTTCTCGACTCTCTAACTCTCTCTTCCTCTCTCTCTCGAAGGCGTGCCGCTCTCTCCTCTCTCTCTCTCTCTCTCTCTCTCTCTCTCTCTCTCTTCGCTGGCTCTTAATTTTCTCCTATGCTCCATGTCTTAGCGCTCTTTCTGGTTCTCTCGCTCTCTCTCTCGATATCATTCTTCATCGATCTTCTCTCTCTCTCGTCTCTTCTCTTCTCCTCTCTCTTCCTCTTCTCTCCTCTCTCCTCTCTCTTCTCTCATCTCTCTCCTCTCTCTCATCTCCTCTCTGCTCCTCTACACTCTCTTCTCTCGCTCTCTCTCTCTCTCTTCTCTCTCCTCTTGCTTCTCTTCTCTCTCTCTCTAGATCTCAACAAACATGCACACACAACACACTCTTCTCGTCGCTCTTTTCCTCTTATCGCGCTCTCTCTCTTTCTCTCTCTCTTCTCTCTCTCTCTTCTACATACTTCTCTCTCTCTCTTTTCTCTCTCAGCTCTCTATCTCTCTCTATCTTTCTCTCTCATTCTCTCTCTTCTCTCTCTTCTCTCTCGTTCTCTCTGATCTCTCTTCTCTCTCTTCTCTCTCTCTCTCTCTCTTCTCTCTGCGTTCTCTCTCTCGTTATCTACTCTTGCTGCTCTCTCTCTCTCTCTTTGCCCTCTCTCTCTCTCTCTCTCTCTCTCTCTCTCTTTCTCTTTCAGCTAATTTACATACCGCCGCGTTCGAAACTCGTCTGCGGACGTCGTCACGTGATTACGGCGCAGTGCTGTCAGCTTGAGGGGGATTACGGTATGGCGGTATTAGGACAGGGCTAGGCGCGTGTTCTTATAATCACTCGCTTTGTCTCTCACTGTGACAGGCTCTCTAACAGCCTTGTGTTTTTCTGGCTGTAGTAACTATTGTCTGTTTGTCTGTCCGTCTCTCTGCCTCTTTCTTTCTCTCTTTCTCTCTCTCTCTCTCTCT